CTGGTGGATTCGAACTGCCAATCTTGGTTAGCAGCCAAGCTCTTAACCACTGTGCCTAGGCCTCATATTATTCCTACAAATATTTTTTCACATGCCATAGAGCCAACTCATAATCAAAGATAACCAGACATACAAAGAAACAAAGGAATAAGAAATAATAGTTCAGAGATAGGGACCCACAAAGACTTCAGACAGTACAACTATCAGATGCAGATAATAAAACAGCTATGCTTACCTTGTTCGAGACATACTCAAACATAGTTAAAAAGTCAATCTTGAAATATTTACCAGTCAACAGGAAAGCACTTACAGTGGCACAGAGATCTGAAAAAGAACCCCATACAAAGTCTCAAATGGGGAAAAAAAAAAATTAAAATTAAGGACTCAATGGACAGACTTAACAGGTTAGATACAACTGAAGAGAGAATCAATGTAACAAAAGACTGGAAGGAAGAAACTACCTAAAACGTAGCACCGAGATACTAAAAAGTAAACGGGCAGGAGACATAGAAGATGAGTGAGGTTTACCACGTTTAATTGAAGTCCCAGTAGAAGAGAGAAAATAGTGCAGACAATATTTGAAGAGATAACAGCAGAGAATTTTCCAGGACTAATGAAAGACCTCAACTGGTAGATTCAAGAATCCCACTGACTCTTAAGCAGGATAAAAAAAAAAAAAAAGAAATCCAGACCTAGGCACATCCTAGTCAAAGAAACCTGTGTAAAAACCCATAGACAGAGAAAAATCTCAGAAGCAGAGGCAAAAATAAAAGCCAAGTTACCTTGAAAGTAGCTACAGTTACACTGACAGCTGACTTCTCCATAGCAGTAATTAATACTGCCAGCAGACAATAATACCTAAGATTTTAAGCACTTTGAGTCAATCATGATGCTAAGTGCCTTACAAACATGATAGAATTTAATACAATAAGCAGCGATGCAGGACTTTACTATTGTATTTTACACATGAGGAAACTGAAGTTTAAATAGGTTAAATACTTTTCTCTAGATCATAAGTGGCAGAGCTGGGATTTCAAATCAAGTTCTTTTGACTCCAGAGCCTATGCTCTGTTAACAACTTACTCAACTGCTCTGGGAAAAATAGTGTATGAGAAAGAAAGTGTTGTAACATAAAGACCACCTAGTCCAAGCATATGAGCAGTTTGAATTTATCAAAACTCACAGAGGTAATCAGCCAGCACTGCAGAAGCATCTCCAAGGGCAGGCACGCCCCCCAAAAGATATGTTGAAGTCCTAACCCTTATTCCTGCGAATATGACCCTGCTTGGGAATAGAGTTTTTCCTTTTATGTTAACAGAGTCATACCAGAGTAGGGCGGGACGTAACCCTAGTCCTTTCTAAGTGGTGCCTTATAAAGGGGAGTACAGACACACAGAGACACAAACAGGGTGAGGACAGATGCCGTGTGAAGATACATCTACAAGCAGCCAAGGACACCAAGAAAACCTGGGGCTACAGAAGCTGAGAGAGACAAGGCAGACAGAAAGAGCCTAGCCCTGCGGACACCTTGAATTCGGACTCCTAGCCTCCAGAGCTGTGAGACAATAAATTCTAGTTCTTTAAAGCCAGCCGCTTGTGGTATTTTTTGTTACAGCAGCACTAGGTAACTAAGACATTTTTGGACAGCTTCAGTTTTTTGAGAGGGAACAGAAATTTACAGTTCTCTAATTTCTATCCACTCATCCTTATCTTGTTCTCTAGGGTCATAAGTTTTAATCTCTCTCCTCTGAAAGCCCTTTAGTTGACAGTTTTGAGGTTACCCCGTATCATTCCTTCTTCCGGCCAAAACCGCTTTTTGTCTTTCAGTGAAAACTCTGTAACTGATAAATGTTTAGCTCCTTCACCACATAGGACCATCTTTGATGTGGGTGGTTCAGCTTCTCTCTGTCCTTTGTAAAATGGTATCTGGGACCAAAAACAATACTCTCAGTATGGTCTGAAAAGCACAGGGTTAAGCAAGACTATCACCTACCACGCATTGGACTTAAAACCAACTACTGCAGTATAAAAAGCACACACACTCTCTTTGGCGTTTGTTCAGATTTGGTCTCATACACAGTGAGAGCTACCTAAGAAGTCTAAGTATTTTTCAAGATGTGCCACGTCTCCTCATGCTCTAGCTAAACTGGCCTTTGTTTCTTCAAATAAATCACATTCCAGACTAGGTCAGGCTCGCCTCTCCTAGGCTCCCACAGCTCTTAGAAAACGATAGTTACTTGTATATATAATTATTCATTTAACAACTCTTCCTCACTAAACCACAAGCTCCATACAGGAGGAACTGACAGTGGGTGCTAATAAATACTGTAGCCTTTTTTCCTAAACATATCCCCACATCCTTCATCTCCCAATAGGTCACTGGCACACCCTCTCCCTGCAGCCTCTTAGGACTCCAATTTAAATTTGGAGGGCTTCTCACCTCCCACCACTCTGTATTTATGCAGGACCTAATATTTGCCCTTCACCTCATTAGACAACTTAACCATTTCAGCCTAGTTAACCCTCACTGTATCTCACCAGCTCCATATCAACTGCAGACTTTGCCACTCGACCAAAGACCCCTCCTTCTGGAAGCTATGGTTCTTTAGGATTCAAGGGCAGTGAAAAGGCACTGGTTTGCACAAGCTTAGGCAACAAAGCTCCCAGCATCTGCCACAACCCACCTAAGGCTGGCTCAGACAGACTTTCAGGTTGGAAAAGCTGTTATAACATTGCAATCTCCCCCAAAATGCATGCCTTCCTGTCCCACAACAGTCCTCACCTCACTGTAAACAAAAAAGAGACAAGAGGTTAAGGCCAATATTAATAGCTATAGCTCTGGCAGCTTCTCTTTTTTTTTCTGACAGTCTTGTTCTGACTCTTCAGAACACGGTAGTCCACGTTTTAAGCCCTCGTGGGATCCCTCAGTGTCACTTTCTACATACTGAGAAGTCCATATTTGTAGAACTGATGTAACAGGGGAAGAACTAAGTTTATTTCCAGAAAGTCATAAAAATGCAGTATTTTGGGAAAGTAGTCAAGCCCATACTTATAAAAAAGTAGTATGTAAACAAAGAATCCCATCTTTGGAGGAAAATGTCAAATCTGTAGTTCAGTCACTAGGACTAGGAGAGAAAATAGACTCTTAAGTCCCTTGTCTGCACCCCTAAACCAAAAAACCAACCAACCATTTGCCGTCAAGACGATTCAGACTCACGGGGAGCCCTTGTCTGTCAGTGTAGAACTGTGCTCCATAAGGTTTTCAATGGTTGATTTTTCAGTAGATCACCAAACCTTTCTTCCAAGAAGCCTTTGGGTAGACTCGAACCTCCAACCTTTCAGTTAGCAACCGAGCACATGAACCTTTGCACCACCCAGGGACTCCCCATCTGCTCCCCTAGTTCATTTCAATTCTGTCTGAATATTATCCCTCGCCACGGTTATGGTGTAAGGCTCAGTAATGCTGACCCCCTCAATCAGTATATTCCATCTTCATCCAAGGCAGTATGAAATGGCCTATGGCGCATCATAGTGCTGACCCCCCCAAAGTAGACACTGACCTAGTAATAAATTTTTAGGAAAACATCCTTAAAAGTTAGGAAGTCACCATTATTCATCCCTTTTCTCCATATGAAATGCCTCATTAAAATCAAGATACTGTTTCTGATATTCTAATATGATAGGAATTCTATTAAAAAAGGAAATGTAAATTGGATAGAACCTGTTCCTGGTAAACCTATGCTGGCTCTCCCTCCTTTCTGCTCCACATACTTAAAAACTATGCTTTTAACAATTACTAGTTGTTTTCTGCTCAGAAGCAATAAACTCACAAGCCTGGAATTTCTCAAGTCTTCCTACCCTCTTTCTGCAATCCTACAGAATGGAAGAGTTGCTAGAAGCCTAGAGTAAATGTTCAGATTTTGTAAGCACGTTAGTTATTTCACCTGCTTTAAGTCAGAGGTAGCATTTCCAATGCCTACAGGGCCAGAGCAGGCAACAGAAATGAGTGAAGTGGAGCAGGTAATGCTGAAGGCGAAACGTGAACAGAAGGGGCAATCGTTATTCAGCTCCTGCCGATCGCTGTCACACAGCACTGTGATCAATGTTCCAGAGCTGTCAATTTTTAAAGAGAAGCTGGAAATGATAAAACGAACAAATAAAAAAACATTTAAAAGTGAAGTCTCTTTAAGTGCTCGTGACTGATTTCTTTAAAAAGACTCCCCACCTTGAGCTAAAATGTATCAGTTAGCGGAATTCAGTGCCCAGGAGTCCAGTCTGGACCCCTTGCTCTAAGCTAAGAAATTCATTTAGATGTCTGTTTAAAGAAGGGGGGTGGGGGTAAAAAGTCAAATTTGGGGGCTTCAATTCTCGCTTGAAAATATTTCTTCTTCAACCTTTCCAGTCATAATATTACCCTCCTTGCCCCAGAGCAGGTCCTACTGTGGTGAAAACAGTTAACGTGCTTGGCTGCTAACCAAAAGGCTGGAAGTTCAGGTGCACCCAGAGACGCCTCAAAAGAGAGGCCTGGCAGTCTACTTCCGAAAAGTCAGCCACTGAAAACACTGTGGAGCACAGTTCTACTCTGACACGTATGGGGTCATCAGGAGTCAGAGTCGACTTGACGGCAACTGGATTTTGGTTTGCCCTAGAGCACCAAAGTAAAATGAGAATGAGGTGATTACAAAATTTAAAAAGAGAAAAAATGTAAGAATCACTCCCAAGGAATGACACTGATGCAGTCTTTATTCTTCCTGCGGTAAACAGTGCTGCAAAAAGCTCTTAGATTTTCACTCTGACTTCTCTTATATAACAGCACCAATAGTATATTCATCCTTGGATATGAACCTCTCCATCATTCACACGTTTTTACAATCTGAGGTAATTCTTCAAGTCCAATCCCTCACCCTCCTTTCTATCCTGGTTAAGGTACAGATCACAATCTTAATGTGTAAAACTGTGCAAATGTCATCTGTGACAACTTCCCATTCTTTTTATTTTTCCCCTTTTGGAGCCAGTCTCTATGGAATCTTGCTTTTTGTTTTCCTCAGCATTTTTTGAATCGTTTTTTAGTCACTTGAATGTACTCAGACCCAAGCTTTCCCATTCTTTGCTATCCATTATTTCCCAGCATTGTGAAACAGTCACAGAAAGCTAGAATATCATTAACTAATTTCAGGGCTTCAAACACTCAAGAAGAAAATCAAATGCCACTAGTAATAAACCATCAGCACCTAAGTATCTCATGCTACATCACGAGACAGAAGGGTAATCTCTACATACTCAGGAAGGAGCACTAAATCCCTATCACAAGAATTTCATAACCGATATTCAAAGCTATCATAATTATTCTACTTTGCACTAAAATCCAAAACCAAATGGACAAGTAGCCTTTCCAGTCACTTAGGACAGCATCTAGAGGCTCTATAAGGAGGTATAGCCCAAGGTCTATTAAAAATATCCCTGACTTCTCTTGTTCTTCAGAACCACAATGTGAGCATTTAGATTCTTTGATGTGTCTTCTATCACAGCAGCCCCACTTGCATGCCATTGTTTTAGTCCAGTACAGACCGGTTAACGAGATATTACAGAATGAAAGCCAAGGCCAGGCGTCTCTTAAATTTATTGGAGGATTCTTGGGGGAGGAAAGATCACAGGCTTAAACAAGATAAAAGATAAAAGAACAATCAATTGCAAATTATTACATAAGTAATTTCTGAAAGGTTTGCTTTGAGTCACTGCTAAAACAAAGAAAATTTTAGTGCATCCTGAAATTCATATTTTGGTAAGTGAATACATTAAATTACTGAAGAGGAAAAAAAAAAAGTTACCATTACACAGTACAAGATCTTAATGTAATCATTCAGCACAGTCAAATAAACAGCTACAATTATTCGAAGATGCTTCTGATATATATCGGGTATATTAAACAAGAATGTGGATTACTTTCAGCACTGCACAAGTAACCAAAGGTAGCAAATCCAGCAATATTAAAGCATGATATTAAATAGTATTCAAACATTACAACAAAAACAAAACAATGAACTTCTACAGCTACAACTCTACCCATACAAAAGGAATGTACATGGATGGTAAAAAAATAATAAATAGATAAAGTGACAAGAGTGACTAATACTGTACCTGCAGCTTCCGAGCAGGAATACAGTAAACTGAATAAATGCTTAGAGGGTATCTTGCTGAAAACAAGGGGGAAAATCCATTTCACTTTAGTATAATTTTAAAACTCTCACCAGAGGCTCTAATTCTCTTGTGCTGGTGACAGGTAGACAGGGTTTTAAATGGAAAGTATTTTCCCTACACCCTGGGTATGGATACATCATTTAAAAAAAAAAAAAAGTTATGTGGAAAGTCTCCTTTGAAAAATGTAAAATTTAAACTGATATGCTGATGGTAAATGGACAATATTAATTCTAGAATAAAAACATTAGCTAAGCTATTAACGAAGCAGACATTTGAATCTGGGGTCTGTTGAGTCAAGATTCAACTGTGCATTCGGGAAACGTGTACACTAATGTCAAAGTTACGTGTGCAAATTTTCACTTTATTACATGATGTACTTAATAAGCGATTAAATTTTCCTATCAGTAACATAAAACCCTTATTTAAGCAAAATTAAAGCATTATAAATTGAATTAAATTCACATCAAATATCTGAAGTAGAACGTTTTTCAAAGTATAAAGACGTTATCGCATATATTCATTGAGTGCGTGCCTCAAAGGTTTTGTAACTCCATTAAATCGTATGAAACCATCAACTGATACTGTCATTTTCTTCTGTGATTTAAAAATGAATCATTCTTTTTTGTATAAATCAGGAAATATTTTCAAAATCAATGTATGCCCAAAATAGAAATGTAATTTAAACTTGGCTTAGGAAAAGGAGAATGTGAAATATTACCGCGTTTCAGTCTAAAAAATAATGTTCTAAAAAACCCCTATTAGAGGTTTCCCTCATTTTCATTCCATAGGTCCTTCAATAGTTCCTGAATGGACAAACTGAGAGTTCAGCTCAATGCACATCACAACTTTAACAGCTCTAAATAAAACATGTATTTCATAAGGACGAAGATGCAGAGAATGGCAATACTACAATATATGTCGTCTGTAATAAAATAAGACAGTGAGGGCTGTCCTCAACAAACAAAGCTGTTCTGAAGACTGAGCAACCAAACACATCTAGAATGTCTTTGGAAAATCACATACACAAAGTGCCTTGAAAGAAAGCAAGCTCAGACTGTACTTGATGAAAAGATACTGCTCCAAACACAAATGGTTTCTGTAAATAAGAAAGCATAACTCACGCTTCTTTTCACATCTGCCAATACTTAATATTTTTCTCTATGCCCCTGCACTGAACTAATACAAGTGTGGAGTTTCACTATTACTATTATTACGCATGCTAACACCTAGTAACTGTTCTGTCATTATGTAGTGGTTAAAATGAGAACTCTGAGCACAGCATAGCTCTAGAAAAATAGAAAGGAAACGACGATATGAGGAAAGTCTTACCTCAAAATTATTATCTTAAGAGAAATAAACATTGTCAAGCACAGAAAGTTTTGCAAAACTAATATGTTGTCACTATAGCTTAAAAGAAATTCAGAAGTCACTTTTGCTGTTGATCAAACATACGTACATCCAAGTTTTTAAACACAATGTGCTAGTTAATATACTTATGAAAATGCAATCTAACATTAAGAACCAATTAATCGATGTTATAGTTAACAAGAGCAAACATTCCTGTGCCTGAGGTCTAAAAATCCAGCCCAGTGCTACTGTATCTCAAGCTCTGAGAAGCTAAAGGCAGAAACAATTCTGGTTTTATATTTCCTTCATTCCTTGTCTTAAAAAACACTTGAAGAAACTTTAGCAAACATTTATGTTTAAGCCTCGCTCTATTTCTACGGTCTTAAATTTTAAAAACCCAAAGCTTATATAATTAAACCTCGGAAAATATTTAAATAGCTTTTGGCATTCTTCTGAAAAAGCAAATCTGACTCTTTCAGTACAAAACACATTTCTCTACTATAATTACTAATTCGAATCTATGTAAGTGCCCTTATTCCCTGGCGGTTTGACATGCCTTCCATACTTTGTGCAGCTTCCAGAACAGTCAGTGCTCAGGAAAAAAGACAGTTTAATGGAGCAAAATCAAAGTCCCTAACAAAAGCGGTTTACCTTAGATTACAAAATCCTCTGGGGAGAACCAAACACCCACACATGCACACCCCCACAGAAACCAAGAGTCAACCTTGGTCCTCTAATCGCGTCAGTCTGCAGTTTCTAAAGACAAAGCAGTAAAAAGATCCTGGCAGAGAACTTTACAAAAGAGTGCAGATACATTTTATCTGGAAAAGGAAAAAAAATCCCATTTTTCTAGGAAAAGTTTATCCTTGCTGGGGGGAGGAAGGGGTTCAAAAATCCAACAATGGAAAGTGTTAATGTTATTGGGCTTTCCTAAATTTGTCTCCTTATTAATTTTTCAATTTTCAACAAGTTTTGCAATTTGAATTTTCATTTGTAGGCTAAGTGGGGGGCCCAAAACAGTTAAAGAGAAGTAAAAATTCTTACTGCACAATCTTTACAGACATTTTATTTAAAGCACCTTTTTCGTGTTAATAGTGGGTTTCCAACCAAGTAAATAGGAAAATAAAAGAGGACATCAACCACCTGCAAGATCAAGGTACTTCTTTACACACACACATGTACATACATATAGACACGCACGTGCGCACACACCCTTTCATGCCAGAACAACTGGCAGCATTGGTAAATAATGTCACTTGAGGAAAGGCTGTGGACACTCACAGTGTTTACAGAAACCTAAAATACTAATGTTTCTGCTAAGAAATTAAATGGTTTGGGGGATTAAAAAGAGCTACCAACAGCTGAGCTATGAAATAAAGCGGGTTTTTAAAAACAGGACAAAAAAATCTTCCAGATAAACAACGTTAGCTTTAACTTTATTATTTGATGTCAGGTTGGTTATTAATAGGATACGATTTGTTTCCAAAGGAGCATACCTGTTGCTCTCATCGTAGCGAGAAAATTATAACTTTATCCCTGGAATCTATTCTCAGCCACCTTCAGTGCAATCTCTAGCAGCACTATCTGGATGCAAAAAGAATGCCGTGGGGCCACGCCCCTGAAAACCTCATGTTTACACTTTCCTTCATATACATGTTGTTAGAGTCTGAACACAATACGTGTGGATAGCAGAATAAATGAAGACAATATTTTCACAGAGATTACAGAAGTATGAACTATATACACTGCGTGACACAAGCATTTCAAAGGCTAGATTTATTTTCTCCTCAACATTAATACTCACTATTCCAATTTTACCCTACGCATCTTTACCTGTTTCTTACCCTCCCAAAACAAATAATAAAATCTACTGGTTTGGCATTTGTTCTATGCATTTTCCAAGAGCCAGTCAAACAGTGACTGGGATCTCCCCTCAGCGGACGTCTTCTCCGTCACTTCATAGTATTTAAGCACAGCCTGCAGGAGGGCGCCCACTTTCCATCCTTTTTCTTGTAATCGTTTTGAAAGCTAACAAGAAAGAAAAGTGTGCCAAGCATTAATCAAAAACAATTTTATAACAAAGTTATCATTTTTATTTTTAACATCAGATGAAACTAAGAAGCCTGCTGTTTAGAAGTAAATGCTGTTGCTCAGTTATAACAAGAGCTTCTCCCCTAAACCGCCAGCCCTTCACCTACATTAAACATTTTTCCTTCCTGGTCTTTCTAAAAGGAGCCCTGGCGGAGCAGCAGATAAGTGCTCGGCTGCTAACCAAAAGGTCAGTGGTTCGAACCCACCAGCCACTCCACGGGAGAAAGATGTGGCTGTCTGCTTCCGTAAGAATTAGAGCCTTGAAAACCCATGGGGTAGTTCTACTCTGTCCTACAGAGTTGCTGTGAGTCGGAATCAACTCAACAGCAGTGGGTTTGGTTTTGTTTGTTTCTGGCTTTTATAAACACATTTCCTCCACAGAATGACACTTTGGGATTGCTGGAGACATAACCCCACAGACCTCACCAGCTGATAAGGTTGTGTGGGAGTACAGAGGCTGCACTCCTACAGAAAATTCTTAACCGAACTAAATGCATCTGCCACACCCTCAATTTAGAACATAAAATAATAAAGACGACGTCAAGCTTAATAAAAGGATACGGATTTTCCTCCCACAACATATAGTGTGGCTTTGTTGTGGAATACACACTCTAGCTTCAACGGAAACATGTTAAGAAATTTTAATGTTCCCCAAAAAAAAGATACACAGGTTTAAATAAACTCTATCTTTACCAATCGGAATGTGCACTCATTTTTTTCTATCAACTTATGTAAAAACTACTTGTATTTTTTGTAATGTAAAATTTTGAAACAGCTCTATTGATGTATAATTCACATACCACACAACTCATCCATCTGAAGTTTATAATTCAATGCTTTTTTATATATTCACCGAGATGTGCAACTGTCACCACAATCAATTTAGAACAATTTCATCACTCCAAAAAGAAATCCTGGACCCACTAGCATTCACTCCTCATTTCTCCCCAAATCTCTCAGCCCAAGGCAACCACTAATATACTTTCTGTATCCATAGACTTGCCAATTCTGGACAACTCATATAAATGGAATCATACAATTTGTATTGTTTTGTGACTAGCTTCCTTCACTTCACATAATATTTTCAAGGTTCATTTATTGTCTATCCATAGCATGTATCAGTCCTTCCTTTTTATTGTTAAATAATACTCCATTGTATGAATATATACCACAATTTTATTTAATCATTCATCAGTTAATGGACATTTGGATTGTTTCTCCTTTGGGCTATTATGAATAATGTCGCTACAAACATCCATGTACAAGTTTTTGGGTAGCCACACGTTCCTAATTCTTTGGGTATACCCCCAGGAGGAGAACTTCTGGATCACATGGTAATTCTGTTAACTTTCTCAGGAACTGCCAGAATATTTTCCAAAGCAGCTGTGCCATTTTACATTTCTACCAGCAATGGATGAAGGTTCCTATTTCTCCAAATCCTTGTCAACACTTATTATATGACTTTTAGATTATAATCATCCTACTAGGAGTGAAGTGGTATCTCATTGTGGTTTTGATTTGCATTTCCCTGATGACTAATGATGTTGAGCATCTTTTCATGTGCAGATTGGCCATCTGTACATCGTCTTTGGAAAAATGTCTATTCAGATCCTTTGCCCATTTTCTAATTGGGTTATTTGCCTTTTTATTATTGAGTTGCAAGAGTTCTTTATATATTCTAGATACAAGTCCTATTAGATATACGATTTGCAAATATTTTCTTCCATTCTGTGGGTTGTCTTTTCATTTTCTTGATGGTGTCCTTTTAAGCATAAAAGTTTTTTATTTTGATTAAGTCCAATTTATCTATTTTCTTCTTTCCTTTGTGTAAATATGCTTAACTTTTATACTTCCTTGTCCTTGTATCGGTGGTTAAGCGCTCGGCTGCTAACCGAAAGGTCAGTGGTTCAAACACAGCAGCTGCTCTGTGGAAATATGTGGCAGTCTGCTTCAGTAAAGATTATAGCCAAGAAAACCCTATGGGGCAGTTCTACTCTGTCCTACAGGGTCACTGTGAGTCAGAATTGACTCGACAACTATAACTGTCCCTACACAATTATCTGTCACCTTCTAGTTATGCTTATGGTAATAATGTTCATTCTGTTTAAAGGTGAAAATGTCAGGATTAATAGAATATTATCCAGAAACAATATTCCTATTATCATCATTATCAACAAAAACGTTCTGTACTTGCCTCTTAACTGCTTCCTAGCTTCCTAGCACCTAGTCAGCAGTCCTGTGGGCTCTTGCCGACATGGTAAGAGGGTCATTATTTAAAATAAGTGGCAATAGGCACTGTCATCCACCTTTAAGCAACCCCCACTGTACCCAATCATCAAAGACGTCATGGGCTAAGCTATATGGAGGCGAGGTTCCCCTACCCAAGCACCATCACTCTCAGCTCCACCTAAGGCCCTCCTTAGCCCTCAGTCTACCCAACACTAAATGTCTCTCGAAAATGTTTCCCTCCCCAAGATCAGTTCCAGCACTTCCTCTACCCATTCTTTTTTCTTGACAATTCATTTCCGAAGCATCCTTTTCTGTGCTATTTTCTCCTTCTGCCTAAAAAGAAAAACCTAAACTGGAAAAGGAGGCCCTGGAAGGTGCAAACAGTTAACATGCTCGCCTGTTCATTAAAAGGTTGGAGATTCAAGTCCACCCAGAGGAGCCTCGGAAGAAAAACCTGGAAATCTATTTCTGAAATATCAGCCACTGAAAACCCTATGGAGGACAGTTCTACTCTGGCACACATGGGGTCACTATGAAGCAGGACTGACTCGATAGCAACTTTTTTTTTTTTTTTTTAAACCGGAAAAATCCAAAAAGTATCTAAGAACAAAAAAAAAAAACCCGTCTTTTTCACATACTTTTTTTAACAGTATCTTCGTAAATTCTGAATCAGAAAGCAAGAGTAACCCTAATAATTGTTCCTCTTTTGTTATTATTGATCAATCTACACGGGCTATTCACTGGACCATTCTATAGCCCATAAGATTAAATCAGAGCTCAGATGAGGAAGATTCTGGGACACAAATCTGAAGACAGTGAACTGACGACCGTGACTAATAAAGTGCTTGGCACATAAAAGTAACTTGTTGGTGCATCAAATCTGAAGGTCATCAGATGCTTAAACTTTTATTGGCTTTTGATTATGCCAGCTTCCCATACAACGAAACTGGATTAACAGAGAAAGAAACATGCTAATTATTAGGCTCATTTTTGAATCAGTTAAATACAGAAAAGAATAACTCAAACTTCCACATGGCGAACACTTAAAATGCTTATTAATAATAGCTAACTTTGAGAACTCATTATGTGCTATGCAACAGCAGAGGTACTTACAGTATTATAATCCTCACAAACCCTTGCAACGTATACTCTATAGTTATCTCCATTGTGCAGCAAGGGAAACTGAGGCTCAGTGGTTAACCTGCCCAAGGTTATACTGCTAAGAGAGTGACAGGGCCGAGATGTGAACTCAGACTCTTGGATTCCACAGTCTAAGAACTTTACCACTCTACTATCAACAGACATCTTATTAGACTGACCACATGACAAAGAGCATGACATACTGTTAAATGTATCCTCACCACCACCCTATACTGTAGATACTTACTAGTATAAACTCCTCCTTGGCCGAGTCATGGAAACAAAGTTCTGCAACTTCAGCCTCAGAGGCAACAAGCCACTGAAGAATAATCCTCAGTTGGGGGTCTACTGTGCATGGCTCCATGTCAATATTTGTAATTAGCAGAGTCTTTCCATCTTGCCCCAAACCTAATGTTTAAATTTAAACAATATGATGAAGTGAAACTCATCAATTCAACACAATACTCTGGTTGTTAAGGATTTATGAATGTTTTCCATTTCTTAAGATTCCAATGAACGATGAAAAAAATGCATCTTTTCTTAACCACATCATATCATCAACTAAAACATTTCCTTGAAAGGGAAAAATAACACGAAAACAGTGGAGTAACTTTGAGCATTTACTGATGGCACAAATGTAAAACCCTATTTTGATGTACTGAATTCCAGTACTATAAATGCTATAATTTGTGTCAAAAGATGGTCTACAGGTACAAGGGGAGAAAATAAAACTTTATAAAGCTATCTTTATAATCAAAATATAAATGAAACACAAAAATAAAAACCTCAGATAAAAATGGACTTTAAGAAAGCTTTCTGGGCTATTCTATACAGCAGGAGCAGCAAACATTTGTATAGCATGTATTATATCTAAGTACTGTGCTAAGTTCTGTATACATGCAAACTCTTAATTCTCACAACCACCCTACAAGGCAGGAACTATTATCACTTCCATTTTTCAGGTAAAGAACCTAAGGCAGAGAGTGAGCAGGGTCTTAGAGCAGAGAAGTGACTGAGCCAGGATCTAAGCACAGGCAGTCTGGCTCCATGCTCTTAATCACTTCATTCAGGCAAAACAGAAAAAGGAGAGGGGGAAAAAAAAAAAGCCCTATGCAATAACCACTGATATCCCAAAAGCCACATCAGAGAATTTTCTGGTACCCTGTAATAAGTAAGATGCTCCACTCAAGACTGTTTCCTTTTTATGAAAATTATGTTTCAACATGAAGAGGGACGGATCACCTCTGACTACAAAATGAATAACTGTGGACCAATAGCATGTGTTTAGCACCCCTGCTTCATGACTGAGCAACAAGCAGAGCTGCCTGACAGGGACCTTCCCACACCCACAAGGGTATGCGCATACGGGCATGCTGGTCCCAGTAATGGAAATATTGTGCATAGATGTCCTTGATTCTTTTTTGCAACTTATAGGGTTACTACAGGGCTACTATTCTAGGTTAATCATTTTTAATATTTGTGTTGGCCTCTTAAAAAAAGAAAAAAGATGTGGTCTGCATTATTCTCTTAAAATAAATTTACTGCCCTTATTTTCCCCTTTCCCCCACTGACTTTCAATAAAAAACGGGTCTGGTCTCTAGGCCATTTCAGAAATCCTGCAGATTTCATGGGCTTAGAACCAATGCTTCTCTCCTGCCCGTGTTTACTCCGTTCAGGGCTCCTGGCTGCCTGGTCTGACAGGAACCTTCAATCGGCTCTCGTTAGAGGTCAGGGCGCACTGAAGGACTGACATGCTGCAACCACAAAAAAATACCATGAAGAAAGAAACTGAGATCTGTCGTCTTAGGTTTCCATCATTTTGGATCTTTCTGGAAACCCATGTTAATCTATCTCCTAACTTACCACCTTCTAATTTAACAAATTAAAAATATGGTTATAACTTCTATATAACAGCAAAAGCTGAATAATGATATATTTACATACATTAACCCTCGGTGAGATGGACTGACACAGGAGCTACAACAATGGGCCCAAGCACAGCAACGACTGTGAGGATGGTACAGGACCGGGCAGTGTTTCACTCTGCTGTACACAGGGTCGCTATGGGTCGGAACTGACTCGGTGGCACCTAACAACAACATATAACCAACCTTGCTAAAAAAATCCTGAATAGCTTGGCTAGTGCCTGAAGTAAAAGTTTGTGTTTTTTGTGTTTTTTTTTAAATGAATTTCATATTTATATTAACTTGTATCTTATTTTCTCTTAATCATTCCGCAGTAAAGTTGGTTAGTAATAACTTGTTCATTAGGGAAAAGAATCTCCACATGCATGCATTAATACCATATACAGGCTTTGGGATAATTTTGTTCATAGATGTTACTTGGGAAAAGCAGACAAATTTTCTAGACGAAGTCAACACTTTTTCAGTGAACAAAAATAAAACAAATATTACGTAGCCTATCAATAATTCTAAAATCATTTCCCTACTTTTAACTTTATATTTAACAAGAAAAAAATCACTTCTAAGAGGCCTATCTGAAGAATATCTACTTAACAGAGACATTAGAATTTTAAAAATAATAATCTTAAATCTGAGAATTTTTAGCTGAAAAATAGATACCTTGAGTAACATTGTGGAGCCCTGGTGGGGCAGTGGTTAAGAGCTCAGCTACTAACCAAAAGGCCAGCAGTCTGAATCCTCCAGTTGCTCCTTGGAAACCCTGTGGGGCAATTCTACTCTGTCTTATAGGGTCGCCATCTGAGTCAGAATCGACTCAATGGCAACATTTTTTTATTTTGAGTAACATTACATGACATTCCTAAACGAAGAAATACAATTGGTGATGAAACCAACTGAAAATTCAGGTGTCATAAAGTACATTTCAAGAAATTTCTTTTGGCAATTTCTCCGTTTTCCCACTTTTATAGAGAACAATAACGAAAAATGAAAATCAATCGTTCAAAAATAAGTATCTCAAGCAGTATAAATATTTTTTGTATGTGCCACTCTAGAGGACACTCTTAGTACTTTCATATTTAAAGAAAAATAAGATTTTTAGAAAAAAATTCAACCACCTGAACACAGTGAAAATTCAAGCCTCAACATGAAAAATTTCTAGATTCACTCAAACATTCTAATGCATTTGAATTAAGATTACAAATCATGGTCTGTAACTCTGTGACCCGTGATATCTGATACTTACATATCTTGAACTATGTTCATTAAAGGAAGACTTCAATGTTTTCTTCAAGTATGTGTATGTGAGTGTAGCATTGAAATTGGGGGAGAAATGAATTCATTTAGAAATATATTTTTGTTTTTATTTATTGATTCATGTAAGTTTGGCATTAAAAACTAATTTGAGAAGCTACCGGTTTAGAGGGAAGAAAGTAACTATTCCAATAACATGCCACAGTTATAAGTTACAATGTCAATGGAGGGTTGTGTATTGGTAAGATGCTAAACAGGTTCCAGCAGAGCTTCCAAACTTAGACGGACCAGAAAGAAAGGTCTGGCGACTTACTTCGGAAAATCAGCCAAAGAAAACTCTATGGATCACAACAGTATGATCCACAACTGCTCATGAGGATGGCACAGTGCCGACAGGGCAGCATTTTGTTCCATCATGCACAAGGTGACCATGAGTCAGGGATGACCCGGCAGCAGCTAACAACAACAACATTTCTTACAATATGAGTAAGGATTTTAGAATTTCTACTTTGAATAAGATACAGAGGTCATCATAAACTTATTTCTCAAATGACTAATTCTCTTATTTTCGTGTCCACAATGAGTACTTTATTAGTTTAGCAGTCAAATAACATAAACTGCTCAACAAGAGACCTAAAACTGAATAAAGAAAACTAGTTCAAGAAAACTCTAATTTGTAATGTTTTACACAAATAACACAGGCGCATATGATGAATATGCACAAATATTCCCATTATAGACTGTTTCAGGGAACCTCATACAAAGAAACATGTAAACGCCTTGAAAAGCACACAATGTCCCTTACCTTCTACATCGTCCTCGTGCTCTTCATCTTCATCATCTGGTTCATCGCTTTTTCAATAAAACAGCAGAAGCAGTTAAAAAAAATAACAAACAAGCTATAATTAATAATGGTATTAAAACCAATTCTTAACATGATAAGGAATGAATGTTACAATATGACATACGACATTTAGAAAGGGGAAAATGACAATAAAAAAGGAAGCTTTGCTTCTCACACCATTTCATGTTAAAATATGAATTGCAAGTGATGCCCAAGATAACTTATCTATCAATAACCGAGAAGTCCTACCTTTTTGTGACATATAAAAAACAAAACTCATTGCTGTCAAGTCAATTCTGACTCATAGTGACCCTAAAGGACAGGGTAGAACTGCCCCATAGGGCTTCCAAGGCTGTAATCTTTATGGAAGCAGACTGCCGGCCTTTTGGTTAGCATCCTAGCGCTTTAACCACCATGCCACCAGGGCTCCCTCCATGATATATAGAACAAAGTAATTTCGTAAAATTAAATTCAAAGCCAAAATAGTCTGCTAACCTGGTTTTAGGTAACACAGCGTTCGAGTCTCATAGAATGCCACGAATAATTAGGCATTTCTTAATGCCTCTCAGGATGTCATTTAAACATGTATTTTTTAACAGTACATTTTCCCTACACTTTTCATATATATGAAATTACATACAAAAACAAAAACGAAAAACAAAACAGAAATTCTGTAGGAAGCAAGCTCTTTTTAATGAATAATTGGTAGAATGAAAAGGAGCAAGCAGAAGAGCAACACATGCATAAGAAATAATACATTTTGCAATTAGATGTCAGTCAAATTTTAGCATAGTTGAATTTTTTCCATTAGATGTAAATTCATCAAGCAGAATCATGTCAAAATGTAGGAGAAAAGCAAGTTGATACATATTGCACTGTAACCCACATTCTTTATATGACTCATGCATTAGTGGTGAAAGACTCATCAGCTTTAAGTTTCTGGTCTGGACCAACCTGTCTGATGTTGGAAAGGATAAATTGTCCTCATACAAATCTCCTTCTAAACCAAGACTGCTCCAGCTACTGCTGTTACCATTACTGCCAGAGGAAGAAGAAAACAGAGCTGAACTAGAAAATGAATAGTAAAGACGACCTCCATTTTTCTGGGAACAGCTTCTGTCCTTGATAACTGTAGATGTTCTGAAGCTGCCACAATGGAGTGGAGCGTCCATGGAGGCAAACAGAAACCATTATCGCTACTCTGAATGGTACTTGGGTCAATTCGGAGATTCAGGAGATTTTTTTCCTTGTCCTCAAAAGGCCAAGAAAATTATTGTAAACTTTATTTTACAGGGTAATACGACACAATGCCTTCTCGGATAGCAAGTGAATGAGTAAAGCAAGAACTTTCACATTGAGATAAATGTGGCAAATCTTGGGATTTAACTTGTAAAATCCAATACTCTTCAGTTTGGGTAGGGTTCAAAAAAAAAAAAAAGGTTAACTTTCTCTCAGGTCTTTAGATGGTGCAAACAGTGGTGGGCTTTTTGGAGGGATGGGCTGGAAGGCACCAAAACATAGTCCCAAATAGACCTCTTCTAACTAGATGTTTTCTGATTTTAAAATACTCTGCCAATTACCTTTCTTTCATACATTACAGATAATTCAGTTAAGTGGCCAATAACATAAACATTCTTTAGAATAAAGCTAGAATAAGTAAGGCTCTATCAAGAATTATACTTGTCTGGTCGGCCAGTCACTAATACCATACAGATAAGTTTTTATGCTACCTTTTCAGAAGAAAAAGGAAAAAAGCAAGAGCTATATTCATAAAACATTCAAAGAAAGCAATTACATTCTAAAATTTCTGCAAAGCAATAAATAAAAGGCAACTGTGTTCAGAAACAAAATTAAATTTAAAATTTTCAGACTAAACCCTCCAACATGCAATTTTTAAAAATTCTAACCATTAAAACAATTAGTAAGCACATTAGTCTGCAGTGATAAGCAGTTATATGTCCCAATATGAGGCTGTATAAGACTAGGCAATTACAAAAATCAAAATTTTGGTTCTAAAAACTGAATTAACATAAAATTATTATACATGCATAAGTAAATGCTGACAAGGTTACCCCCCCCAAAAAAACAAAAATCTGATGATTATTTAAAGTTCTAAGCAGTTTCCAAGCAATCTCAAACTATTTACAAATCTATGTTCATTTTAACATTATCAAACTGTCTCAAAGAAAACCATAATGCATTAGAGAATAAAAGCTAAGACCGAGCAGTGCCTTTTAATATATGTTCACACAAATAACATGAGTTTTGCCCGTGTAGTCTGTCATCAGAGAAACTAAAATTGAAAAAATATGAAAATACAGAAGGTACAGACAGCTGGAGCCAGGGAGAAAGAGAAAATTAATGATCTCAAACACTATTTACTTCTATTAATAGAATGATTATTTAAGAAAAGAAAAACAGAAAATTAAAATCCTTACCCATATCCTAATAACAAGAATGATTTCTCCATTTAATTAATAATAAAAAACCATCATCTAAGTATTAGGTGAATATGAAAAAAAATACAGTTAAACAATGTAAAGACTAAAAATTCAAACTCCTTTTATCTAACCCTGTTCCCTTTTTGGACCTCAAAATGGGTCAGATTTGAAGTTAGTTATTTATAAAATGTCACGTCTAACTAGGGTGACCACGTCAACTTTTCATCCAACCAGGACACTTTTGAAAATAAGTCACTTCTTAACAATTACATGGGAACAGCAGAAATAAACCAAGACTATTCCAAGCAAAACAGATTATACGGTCACCCTACTTTAACTCAACATGAAAGCATCTAAATTCCTCACATAACAGGCTTCCTACTTCATTCTTGAACATTGTCCTGCTTCTTTTTTGCCTTTTCATATTCCCTTTGTCTAGAACAGGCATACTATATCTTTAAACCACAAGTAGTCAAGTAATAAAATTCTTTAAGTGGTTTCTACTCATATGAAGACTACTATCAATTCTGATGCATCTTATAAAAAAGTATCTCAAAAATTCTGCAAGTCTGACCCATCTCTTACCTAATCTACTGGGTAACTTCCAGGAGGCTCACAAACTTGCCTGAAGTATTTTCAGGGATTTAAATATACAGATCAGTTCTTTTTCTGATCAAATAATTATACCTTCCTTCTAAACGCCTCTGAAAATTTGAAATTACTGTTCAGTCTTTTATTGATGCCATTCACTGAACTCTATACTGAGAACAAACTTGCAAGGTGCGTCCACACCACTGAAGTCATTATCTCCTGCCTTGATCTCTGGCCAGAAAGGAATGGTACATACTACCGAGGTCATCAAAAGACTCAGCTTGTAAAGCAATATATCTTAAAGTATGGTCTGCCAACCACCTGCATTAATGTCATCTGATGTGCTTATCAAACATGCAGATCCAACACGGGCCTAATGCATCTTGATCTCTGGGAGATGAGGTCCTTGAAACTGCATTTAACAAGCACACCACCCGCCCTAGATTAACCTATACATTCAGGTACAAGGTCTGTACCTTAATACCAATAGCTTCATTAGTACACACAGGACTGTGGTAAATTAAAATCACAGTTCTTTTTCGGACAAAATGCCAAGTTTGCCCCTTCCTGAAGTCAAATAATTAATTTTCTGAACTTAAATTCATTTACCCATGTTAAACATTATTATTTTAGTCTCCGCCTGATTCTGTCCTTTTGAACCTTGGTTTTGTTAATGGGATTATCTTTTTGGCCTCGTTTTGAGTCATCCACAGATAATGGGTATTCTGCATCACTAATAAAATAATGTCAAAGAGGAAAGAACCAAGGACAGAGCCTGGCAGAGTCCTCCCTCTTTTCATCACATTAGATAATGTGCTGCAGAGAGTTGTTCAACCGGCTCCAAGGCCTTTTAACGCCACCAGCCTTCATCTGTAGTTCTCCCATCCCAACACCAGCATTTCCTAAGCTACAACTCTCACTGAAGTCCGAGAAGCCTCTGTGCTGCTCAAAGATGAAAGAAATTGTTTACTTTCTACTCTAGATAAAGTTATGCACAAAGGTCATATGATCTGTGATAACGTCCCACTTCTGGCTACCAGTTTCAAAGGATGCCTTTTCAAATCTGGATTTTAAGAAATGCTGGCATCAAAAATAACACTCTGAGATGATGTGCTCTAACAGGTGAAAAGCCACTTCCTTTCCCTATGCTACTTCATCCTCCCAACAGTCTTTTTACCTCCTCCTCCTGATAAGCCGATTCCAATCTGTTCAACCTTCCATACCAGCCCAAGAATGGAAGTATGCTGAATATTCTTTCCTCTCCCTAGACTCAGCTATGTATGATATTTCTTATTTACAAGTTATCAGTTAATATGAATAAAGAGTTCATGGAATTGTACAGGTTATTCAGGAATGTCTTTAAGAATATGAGAAAAAAAATTATCATTAATAGTCCAAAGACTGTTGTTACAAGTTAAACAAAAAAAGTTATACATAAAGTAAGCACCTTCTGCTGTAGTAGTTTTATAATGAGTTTGATTTACGTATTTTCAATAATTCAAGTATAAATGCTCTATTTCATTTTGTTCCTGAACAACAGGACAACAGGGAAACCCTCCTAAAAAAGATACTATTTTAACTAACGTTAACAAAATTACAAGGTCATTTTGATGCCTTTTACAGATAACAGCCCTTCTTCTTACCCACTAAAGAGGACTTAAAGACAGGAAGAAAGTTTATTCCTCAAAAATTCAGGAAAAACTTAAAGGATATAAAATCAAATGTATGCAATATCTTTCAAATCAACTATTGGCACACCCAACGAAAATTAGCTCAGCTAATTACTGTGTTTAATATATGTCAAAAACTGCTAGAAACATACTGTGAATGATGAAACAAATTTTACAAACATGGCAGACTTTCAAATTTGGAACTTTCTAAAAGCACCAAATGCAAATATATAGTTCAGTTCTGAGGTCTGAGAACCTAAATTACACAGTTATATGTAAAACGTCAGTTACCTTTCACTTAGATGATGAAAACTGCTGCTTTCATCCTGGTGTTCATCTTCAAAACTTAAATTGGACCAGCTACCAGTGCTGTCTTCACCAATACTGAGATTCAACTGCTGGCTACCAAAAGACTCAGTTGACTGAAAGTCATCTTTTTCTTTTGAACTAAAAAAAGAAAAAAAATCAGATTGGAAACATCATGGATTCTGAATTATGAGACTATAAATTTGATGATAAAGATGACAAAAAACAAGAAATGATATCCAGAGTCAGATCACTGGTTCACCTAACCCTTTAACTGTGCCTGCTAATAATACAAAGACTTCACAGGAAGGCATATTAATTCCAAAACTAGTGCAGGTACCCACTAACACCTCTAACTTACCTGTTAATCTACTATGTATCCACCCCAGTGCATCATTTATCTAAATTCTCCTTAGCTGTTCATATTTTCAACTGGGACCACTAACGAGGAATATAAATTCCTTAGTTTATAATGTCTATGCAAAGTGGAGCCCTAGAGGCATAGCAGTTAAGAGTTTGGCTGCTAAGGAAAGGGCTGGCAGTTCAAATCCACCAGCTGTTCCTTAGAAACCTTATGGGGCAGTTGTACCCTGTCCTGTAGGGTTGCTATGAGTCGGAACTGACTCAATTGTACCTAACAACAACAACAATGTAAGGCAGTAAATAATCCAAGAAACTGGACTATAAAGAAGAACGTGGCATGAGGATTGGTGGAAGACTCATTAACAACCTGCAATATGCAGATGACACAACCTTGCTTGCTGAAAGTGAAGAGAACTTGAAGCACCTACTGATGAAGATCAAAGACTACAGCCTTCAGTACGGATGGACTTCACTTCAACATAAAGAAAACAAAAATCCTCATAACTGGACCAATAAACATCATGATAAACAGAGAAAAGATCGAAGTTGTCAAGGATTTCATTTTACTTGGATCCACAATCAACACCCATGGAAGCAACAGTCAAGAAATCAAATGACATATCTTGGGCAAATCTGCTGCAAAAGACCTCTTTAAAATGTTCAAAAGCAAAGATGTCACCTTGAGGACTAAGATGTCACCTTGAGGACTAAGATGCGCCTGACCCAAGCCATGGTATTTTCAATTGCCTCATATGCATGCAAAAGCTGGACAATGAAGAAGGTAGACCGAAGAAGAACTGACGCCTTTGAATTATGGTGTTGGCGAAGAATATTGAATATACCATGGACTGCCAGAAGAATGAACAAGTCTGTCTTGGAAGAAGTATAACCAAAGTGCTCCCTGGAAGCGAGGATGGCAAGACTTCATCTCACGTACTTTGGACGTGTTATCAGGAGGGACCAGTCCCTGGAGATGGACATCATACTTGGCAAAGTGAGGGTCAGTGAAAAACAGGAAGACCCCTGACAAGATGGACTGACACAATGGCTCCAACTATGGGCTCAAGCATAGCAGCAATTATAAGGATGGTGCAGGACTGGGCAGCGTTTTGTTCTGTTGTATGTAGGGTCGCCGACCCGGCGTCACCTAACAACAATATATAAAGCAGTACTTTCTCTTACATCTACAAAAAGGACCTTCCTGGCTTTAAGACTTGACTTGATTTATCATTCAAATCTATATTCAAAAGAGTCCAATCTCTTCAAGACTTTAAGCTTTGATCATAACCCTTTTCATTTTTTTTCAATAAAAAGACATGTACATTTTTATGCCATCTTTACATGAAAGTCCATTCACTGTCCTATTATTCTAACTGCCCCCTCCATATTTTATTCTCAACATAGTAGTTAAAGTGATGCTTTTAAACAGAAGTCAGATGTCAGTCATCTGCTCAAAACCTTCCAATGGCTTTTCACCAATCAGAATAAGAGCCCAAGTCCTTAAACTGCACGAAGGATGACATACTCTCTGGCCCCTTTCATCATCTCCATCTTCTCTCCTAGACTCTCCTTGGCTCACTCTGCTTCAGCCACACAAGCCTCTTGGCAGCTACCCAAATATGCACAATCCTACCCCTTTGTCTGGAACACTCTTTTCCCAGATTCGCACGACTTCAATCTCTCTTCACCTTGGCTTCTTTGCTTAAATGTGACTTTGTCAGTGATGTGTCCCTGCTACCCCATTCAAAACTGCAAGCCACCCCCATGGTTCCCACCTGTCACCACCACCAGCATCCTCTAGCTCTCTTCCTTGGTTTATTTTTCCTGTAAAGCACTTACTGCTATGTGACATGCTGTCACGGTTTGAATTATGTCCCCCCCAAAATGTGTCTATCAATTTGGCTGGGCCATGATTCCCAGAATTGAGTGGTTGGCCTCCATTTTGTGATTGTAATTTTATGTTAAAGAGGATTAGGGTGGGACTGTAACACCACCTTTACCCAGGTCACATCCCTGATCCAATGTAAAGGGAGTTTCCCTCGGGTGTGGCCTGCACCACCTTTTCTCTCTCGAGATAAAAGGAAAGGGAAGCAAGCAGAGAGCTGGGGACCTCACACCATCAAGAAAGCAGTGCTAGGAGCAGAGCAAGACCTTTGGACTTGGGTCTCGGCGCAGAGAAGCTCCTAGTCCGGGGGAACACTGAAGAGAAGAAGGCCGACGGAGAGAAAAAGCTTTCCCCTGGAGCTGATGCCCTGAATTTGGACTTTTAGCCCACTTTGACTGTGAGGAAATAAACTTCTCTTCATTAAAACCATCCACTTGTGGTATTTCTGTTATAGCAGCACTAGATGACTAAGACACATGCTATATATTTTACTTGTTTGTTTGTCTTCTACTACAATCTAAGCTCCAAGAGAACACAGATTTTTCCATGTTTTATTTACTTCTGTATCCTCAGTGCCTAGAACATCCCCCTTAACTGCCTCTCTTGTGTTATTCACACTCTGTATTTAAGGTATAAACCTGTTGCCATCAAGTCAATTTCAACTCATAGCAACCCTATAGGACAGAGCAGAAATGTCCCATAAGGCTTCAAGGCGCAGCTGTTGGATTCAAATTGCCAACCTTTTCCTTCGCAGCCAAGCTCCTAACCACTGTGCCACCGGGGTCCATTTAAGGGTATAAACCAAACCCGTTACCATCAAGTCAATTCTGACTCATAGAGACCCTACGGACAGAACAGAACTGCCCCATAGAGTTTCCAAGGAGCGCCTGGTGGACTTGAACTGCCGACCTTTTGGTTAGCAGCCATAGCTCTTAACCACTACACCACCAGGGTTTCCATTTAAGGTACAGCAACCAAAATTATACTGGGCATTCCAGAGACAGGCACACTGTAGCCTTGAATCATAAACAGCACTCTCTGTTCTTTTTTATCTATTTTTTTATGAAAACTTTTCCTGGTATGTGCCATAATCTAATGGTTTGGGGTTTTGATTTGTTTTGTTTTGCTGAAATAACCCACTGGATAGGGTCCAGGGAAGTGTTTATAATGACCATTAAGTTACTCTGGCTTAGAAAGGATAGTTCAGAACATAGTTCAGATGTTTTGCTCTTCTAAATGCATGATCGCGTATTTTCTCATACTGACACAAATGCCACCATGTGTACATTACAGCTTTGTGAAATATTTATGGTTGTTCTCATGAATCAAACATTTACAAGAAAAGGGACATATTGTGAAATAATCCAAATAATGCCTTAAAGACAATCCATTTGAATGAATACCTCTTGAAGCATGAAAGACAATTTTAACTTCAGAAACAGAAAATGCAGGACAATAAATTGTACACACTCGAGCCAACTTTCTATAGTCAGCACTTACAGAACCCTAGCACAATTATTAAAAATTGAGAGAAAGAAGAAAAGAACTACAAAGTAATACCCAAAAGGTCAAACTGGACAGCACCAGCTTATAGGAAGAACTACAGGGGACTATCTACACACCCAACTCTAAGGAGAAAAAGCAAGAAAATAGATGAATCAATAGCAAAGGCATCTGCTAGAGCCTAAGAGTAATGTCTTGGAGAGATTCTAGTCTAGAGGAGAGTCTCTGTTTTCCTCTTATGAGGCTGGGATGGAGAAAAAGAAAAAATGGTTAAAATCACCTGACTGAGGAAAGTTGCTTCAATTGTAGAACGGCCTGATTTACTACCACTGACTCATTTGAACACTTATTAACTAAGTATTTTGTGTCTATCATCGTACTAGGAACCCGTGTGTAATCATGAATAAAGAAAATGTGGCTCTCAGACAGACGTTCACAAACACTTTCTGTAAGACAGTTTAAGTATTTTAGGCTCACAGGCCATACTGTCTCTGTTGCAACTACTTAACCCTGCCATTGTAGCATCAAAGCAGCCACAGACAACACATAAATAAATGAGTGTGGCCATATTCCAATAAAACTTTATTAAGGAGCATTGAAATTTGAGGCCAGCATTACCTGCATATCAAAGCCAGACAACGACACCACCAGAAATCTACAGACCAATATCCCTTATGAACATCCTTAACAAAATACTAGCAAAGAGAAATCCAGGATATTAAAAGGTTTATACACCATGACTAAGTGGGATATATCCAAGGAATGCAAGGATGGTTCAACATTAGCAAATCAAGTAATATAATACACCACACTAAAGGAATGAAGGGAAAAAACAAAATTATTTCAATTGATGCAGAAAAAGCATTTGACAAAAATCTAATACCCTTTTATATAAACATACTCAATAAACTAGGAATAGAAAGAAATTTCCTATGATAAAAGCCATATGTGAAAAACCCACAGCTTTTAACATCATGCTCAACGGTGAAAGACTGAAAGCATTTCCCCTAAGACCATGAAGAAGATAAGGAACTCACTTTCACCACTTCTAGTCAACACAGTACTGGAAGTTCTAGCCAGAGCAGTTAGACAAAAAATGAAAAATAAATAAAAGGTATCCAAATTGGAAAGAAGTTAATCTCTTGCTACAAAGTCAACACACAAAAATCAACTTTTTCTATACACTAGCAATGAACAATCTGAAAGGAAATTAAGAAACAATTTCATTTACAACAGCATCAAAAAGAATAAAATAGTTAGGAATAAATTTAACCAAGGAAGTGAAACACTTATACGCTGAAAACTACAAAACATTACTGAAAGAAATTAATAAGATCTAAATAAATTGAAAGACATCGTATGGTCATGGATTGGAAGATTTAATATTGTTAACAATACTACCCTAAGTGTATACAGATTCAATGTAGTCTTTATCAAAATCTCCATGGTGTTTTTCATAGAATAGAAAAATCCATCCTAAAATTTGTATGGAATTTCAACGAACCCTGAATAGCCGAAACAATATTGATAACGAAGAACTCACATATCTAATTTCAAAACTTACTACAAAGCTACAATAATCAGAACAGTGTAGTAGTGGAATAAGGACAGACATATAAAACCAATGAAATAGAACAAAAGAGCCTAGAAATAAAACCTCACATGCAGTCAACTGTCTTTCGACAAGAGTGCCAAGACTATTCAACGGGGAAAGGGCAGTCTTCAGCAAATGGTGCTGGAAAAACTAGATATTCACAGGCCAAGGAATGAAGCTGGACCCTTACCTGACACCATATACTACAAAAATCAACACAAAATGGATCAAAATCTAAGAACTAAAACTATAAAACTTTTAGAAGAAAACAAGGGGAAAGCTTCACGATCTTGGATTCTTAGATATACATTCTTATATGTTATGGATTGAATTGTGTCCCTCAAAAATGTATGTCAACTTGGCTAGGCCATGATTCCCAGTACTGTGTGGCTGTCAAACATTTTGTGACCTGCTATATTTATCCTATGTGTTGTAAATCCTAACCTCTATGATGTTGATGAGGCAGGATTAGAAGCAGTTATGTTAATAAGGCAGGACACAATCTACAGGATTAGGTTAAATCTTGAGTCAATCTCTGTTGAGATATAAAAGAGAGAAGTGAGCAGAGAGGAGAGGGACCTCATGCCACCAAGGAAGAAACACCAGGAACGGAGTGTGTCCTTTGGTCCTGGGGTCCCTCTCCTGAGAAGCTCCTAGACCAGGGGGAAGACTGAGGACAAGGACCTTCCTCCATAGCCTACGGAAAGGGAGACTTCCCCTAGAGCCAGCACCCTAATTTCAGACTCCTCACCTCCTAAACTGTGAGAGAATACATTTCTGTTTGCCAAAACCATCCACTTGTCGTATTTCTATTATAGCAGCACTAGGTAACTATAGGGTCACTTTGAGTCAGAATCAACTCGACGGTACTGGGTTAGGTTTTTTTTTTTTTGGTTTAGATAACTAAGACATTAGATATGACACAAAAAGCCAGGTAAACAGGACTTCAAAATTAAAAATAACGTGCATTAAAGAACACTGTCAAGAGTGATAGAAGAACACTGTCAAGAGGGATAGGACAACACAGAGAATGGGAGAAAATATTTGCAAATTATGTATCTGATGAAGGATAAATACTCAGAATATATAAATAACTCTTAACAACTCAGTAACCAGAAAACAAAAAAAAAAAAACTCCAAAAATGAGTAAAGGACTTGAATAGACATTGACCAAAGAAGATATGAAAATGGCCAATCAGCACATGAAAAGATGCTCAACATCCTTTGTCATTAGGGAAATGTAAATAAAAACTACAGTGAGATATCACTTGACACATACTAGAATGACTATGATAGAAAAGAAAAAAGAAAAACAACAAGCGTTGGTGAAGACGTGGAGAAACCAGAACACTCATGCATTGCTTGTGAGAATGTAAAATGTTGCATCCACCATAGAAAAAAATTTGGTGGTTCCTCAAGATATTAAACATAGAATTACCTCTGACCCAGCAATTCTACTCCTAGGTATATACTCAAAAGAATTGAAAGCAGGGACTCAAACAGATACTTGCATACCAGTGTTCATAGTAGCATTATTTACAATTGTCATAAGATGGGAAGAACCCAAACGTCCATCAATGGATGAACGGATAAACAAAATGTAGTACACACATACAATGGAGTATTACGCAGTCATAAAAAGAAACTGATGAACTTTGAAGATACCATACCGAATGAAATAAGCCACACACAAATGGACAAGTACTGTATGATTCCACTTATATGAGGCATCTAGAATAGGCAAGTTCATAAAGATAGAAAGTAGACTAGAGGTTACCAGGAGCTGGGAGGAGTAATGAGTAGTTATTATTTAACAGGTATAAAGTTGTGTCTGGATAATAAAGATGATCTGGAAATGACAGTAGTGATAGTTACACAACACTGTGAATGTACTTTATGCCAATGAACTGTACACTCGAGCGGTTATGTATATTTTGCCACAATTAAAAAATAGGGCAGTAAGGAACCAAAGAAACCAAATAAATCTAGGATATCATGCGATATAATTAAATTCCACCTCAACTCAAAGCATTTTCTCTTTCCAGTAAGACTAACAAATATAATTTTACAAACTAGTAACACAGAGTGGTCTTGATGTTTTTTTCAGGGGTAATAAGGTGAAAAGTGAGATTTTTTTAACTAAGTTATCTGAATCACTGAGCACAAATCGCTCAACTCAAAACAGGAAGCTGCAGGCCTATCAGAAAGAATTTTCCCCTTATATGGTGGGTCTATTAAGACAGGCGATACTAATGGTGGTAGTATTTAGAGAAATTTTTGCTTTCTTACTCATAACAGTCTGGTTAAACCATGCTCTTTATAAGAAAACTTACCTTTGCGACAGAAATAAAAAAACACTGTATAAAAATTTAATCTCAGAGTAGTAAATTAAGAAGGTAGTATTCTACATTTAGGAGTCCCTGGATGATGCAAACAGTTAAGTGCTCGACTACCAACCAAAAGTTGGTGGTTCGAATCCACCCAGAGGCACCTCAGAAGACAGGCCTGGTAATCTGCTTCTGAAACATTACAGCACGGAAAACCCTTTGCAGCAGTTCTACTCTGCACGCATGGAATCGTCATGAGTCGTAACAGACTTGATGGCAACAAACAACACCTCCATACAGTCATGTGTTCATAACATCCGTTCTGGCAATGTCTGACCGCATATACATCCATGGTCTCATGTTATAACAGAGCTCAGAAATCCCAACTGGAGAATGGGACATAGTGGATTTAGGCATGTTACACTCGACAATCATAAGGATCCTCAAAAACAAAGAGAAAATTCTCCAAGCTTTTAAAGGATGGGCTCCACTGAAAGCTACAAGGCTAACGAAAATGCAAGAGGGACCTATATCAGATATGGAGAAATCGCTTATAACGTGGATCGAGAACGAAACACAAAAGCGAATCCCTCTCAGTATGCTGAAGATCACTGCTGAGGCATGAAGCTTGTTAGATATGTCTAAAGAAAAAGCAAGACCAGACTATGATGTTTAGTGTTAGCACTGGGTGGTTCAAGCGCTTCAAGTGTTTTTTGCTGTATAACGTGAAAGTGAGTAGTGAGTCTATTACTAATGCGAAGGCAGAAGAAGTTTTGTTGAACTCTTAAAACCCACTGCCATCAAGTAGATTTCAACTCACAGCAACCCTGAAGGACAGAGTAGAACTGCCCGATAAGAGTTTCCAAGGAGTGGCTGGTGATTTGAACTGCCAACTTTTCGGTTAGCAGTCAATCTCTTAACTACTGTGCCACCAGGGCTCCTGTTGAACTCTTAGATAAACTAGTTGTACAGGGAGGTTATTTGCTCAGTACATTTTTAATATGGACAAAACCTCCTTATTCTGGAAGCGAATGCCTGAAAAGAACTTCGTTCATAATTTGGCGTTCGCACAACGTCCAAATCACATAACGTCCTATTTTATAGACCGTATCGTGGGCATTAAGCGATACGTAACTGTATTTATTGTATAAAATTCTCCAGATGTTTCTTTGATTCAGCATCACCTACTTTATAGTTGTGTGAACTTAGAAAAATTGGTTTATCCTTTCTCTGAGCCTCATGTTCCAGCCCTGTATATGGGTAATACCTTCCCTCAAAAGGCTATTGGGGAATCATGAAACAGTATATATAAAAGCCCTGTGTAGGGCATGAAACAATACACAAATAAAACAAGGAAAATTTTTGTTAACTTAGGGTTAATTTAGGATACTTTCTGAACAAGACCTAAAATATATGTAATTGAGTATAACTTTTCATTTTATCGTCAAGTCCCAAAAGAAATTTGAAACTTACCTGCTAACAGCAAGTCCAACATTAGTCATTGCTGATGTCATTATTTCTGCGGTGAGGCTTTCAGCAAAGGTAATGCCATCTTGTCCAATTCCACTGTCAGCTGCCAAACTGGTATTGCTCAGCTCTCTCTCTGCTTTTTCAATAGCTTCAGCAACGACCTTCTCAGCAAGCACTGTCTTCTTATCAAGATTAACATGAATTTGCGGGACATCAAGATGAAAAATTCTAGATTTCTGGTAGATGTTGCTATACTTTGAGTTAGAAACTAGCTTACTACTAGCAACTGTATCCTGTCTGAAAAAGTGCTGAGATGCACTGCCAGTGCAATCATGGAGCTCTTTAAGGTTACAATATCTGCAAGGTTGACTGATAAGAGGTGACAACTTTTCTGCATAAGTAATCCTATCTGCTGATTTTGTGGTCTCAGACACTTGCAGAGCTGCAGACTCTAAACTTAGCTCCAACATGTCATCCACTACCTTTTTAGCATACTGTTCTACAGTCTGAACAACATTCTCTCCACAACCATATTCATTTAAGCTTCCAATACTGTGGTAAAATCTGTGATTTTGCAAGGAAGGCTGAAGAGGTTTAGGAAATTCTGGTTCAGTGTGAGACTCGGGATCTTCATCACATTCAGATTTTTCATAAAGGCAAGAATCTGTTAAGGATTTTGGCAAGCCAACTGTAGAAGCTGTTAGCTCTTTTTTAACATCTCTTGTTATGCTGTGAGCAAGAGAGGCCGAAAAACTATACAGTTCGGAGTACTCATTTCTATATGTATCCTGTGTCCTTTCACAACTTTGATTTTTACAAAAGTAGCCTCCCTTCCTTTTACTTCGTCTTTTTTTATCTACTTCTTGGTGGTGTTCTTTAGTTAAGAATGTTAATAGCTCATTCTTGGTTTTCTCTGGTGAGCCTTGTGCAGGGAACGTTTTAGAGCTGCACTTTGTTTTGGCTGTCTTAGCTGCTTCTTGTAATCCTGATTTCACAGATCTGTAAGCAAGTCTATTAGCATACTGATCCATTATTAACTCACTATTACCACCTTCTTGTTTTAGGATTTGGATAATGTGGCCTGCATATTCATCTGTCACACTTTCACAGCTGGGATACTTATATGTCAGACCTGACATACAAGCACTGGACGGTAAGGAGAGACTATACGGATCCACTTCTCTGGGATGTGCTACAGCCTCTATATCCAACTTCTCTTCTGATCTACCATGCCAGTCAGCTCTTTTGAAATAGAAACCATCAGCATAACAACTGTTCTTCCTTTGCCTGGAAAGCACACAACTTTTAAGTTTTGCTATTTTCTCAGCTTCTGTAATTACCTCTGCCGCCACATCACCTGCAAAATTCCACAGTGCTTGTAAATTTTCATCTGAGCAATTTAAAAAAGGAGGAGATATATTTGTTTGACTCTGCACATTTAAGTAAGGGTTTTTAACCTTGGGTTCTTGAATTACTTTATTATCTAAATGAGAAGCTGCCATTTCAGTTGCAAGAGAAATTATGTGTGTAGCTAACCCTTCTGCAAACTGAACTTTCTTCCCTGAGTGCTCTGACTTCACATCCACTTCTGGGTGCTCTTCACCTTCACTACTTTCTACTTCTTCTGAAAGCGATCTCATGAGCTTCAGCATAAACTCTTCTTTTTCTATGGTATTTTGTTCATTTTCAGACAAACTACCAACAGACGGGTTGTGAGGTGTAGAAGGTGGTGTAGCAGGTGCAAACTCCTTTGCTAACTCTCCCTTGAGCTTTTTGGTTAACTTCTTGATATCCCATTCGGAACCAGCTTGGGATGGTACTAGAGGAGTTGATGGAGGAGTTTCAGGTATGACATTTCCATCTCTGATTTTCTGTTTATCTTCCACATGCAAACCATCTACACAGGTAAGCACTGTAGATGTGAAAGTGTGCGAATGAGGAAACAGGTTTTCTTGCCCAAAAGACAATGGCTCAAATGCAGTATTATTTAAACTATGCCTCTTCACTGGCTTCTCTTTGGCAAGTTCCTTCAAGTCAGATTTTTGAACTGTCGTAACTGGACATGATGCTGGTGTCTCTAAAGAAAATTCATGAGCCACTGGGCCTTTACTTTCTACAGCACAATCCTTTCCGACTGAAAGGGCATAATGAACTTGAGTGTCAAGAAATTTGGGACACTTTTCCAAGGTCAACCGTGACTCTTCTCCAGGAACAGGCAAGCCTTCCCTGTTCACCACATTTTTATCTATATTTATAATCACTGATTTGCTTTTGTCTATGGAATGTTTAATAATAGATTTAGATAACTGGTCAGCAAACATGTCCTTAGAGCTAGCGTCATTCTGTTGCAGTGTTGCTCGATCATAGTAGAAAGGAGGGCTTTTTCCTTCTACTGTTTTAGTTAAATAATCTGTGTGTTCATCAACTGTTTTTGTAACTCTGAACGATGTCACTGACTCTAAAGTTTCATTTACTATTGTATGCACCATTGCTGCAGAAAAGCTGCTAATGATTGCAGGATCACTTGTTAATTCTGAAGAATTCTGCATTTCAATATCATCATGACTTGGTTTAAAATCATTCTGGTTACTTAGATTGTGTTCTGAACCTGAAGGTAAACAAGTATTTCTGAGACAAGCTACTTCCTTTTCTTTGCTTTTTGTGGTAACACAAGCTTGGCTAGAATCACCACTTGAAATACTACCGTCAGATGACAGATGAGACTTTGCCTGATATATATCAGATGAAATATGATATGGGAGAAGGGCACTTCCTGCCAAGGGCACTGGTATAGACGTAACAATTCCAGAAGTACAAAACAAGGCCTGCTGCACTGTGTATTCTTTTTTATATTCCTGTATGGGTTTGGTCACCATAATTGCTTGATTGTTAAAAGGAGGGGAAAAGGTGAAGGTCTGTGTTGATGGCACTACATTTTCTGCACTCACATACTTTATGTTATCCGTAGAAACACTAACTGCTGCTTTTGTTGTGAAGGTCACATCAACTTGTGAGAGCTCAATGAATGCTTCCTGTATTACAGATTCAGACAAGTCTTTTGCATACGACTTCACGACTTTGTCTTCAGAGTCAAACGACCAACGCTGTGGAAATGCCGGTGTGGGAGGATATGAAAATTGGCACACTTCCATGATGCCTTCGAAAACCAGCTCTTCAGCAAGATCTGCAGCAAACCTAGCCACTGTGTTTGTAAATATCTGCTTCTTTACATACTGTAAATCTTTTAAAGCATTTGATAAAGCTTCACTCACCAAAAAATTAGCCAGGCCACTAATGGCACGCTCTTTCAGGGAAAATGCACGCTGTCTTCTCAGTTCGTTAAACGCCATCTGAAAAACGGATGACGTCAATTTGATGGCTAAGTGGCACAAGGCACTGGTGCATGAAGAGACTCCTTTCTGCAAGTCTCTAAACGCACCACCAAAACTTTGTTCCACAAGATCTGCTGCGAACTTCTGAATGCTATCTTTAATCATTAAGGATTTATTTTTAGATTTATTGTTTTGATCAAGGTCCCCATGCTTAACAGCTACTGTTTTATTTTCTCCACCTTTAATACTATCAATGTTTGATAGTGCATTAGAATGCTGGGTATGAAGAACTGAATCAAGTACTTTGCATGAAACACTATTCGCATAATCCTCGTAAGTGTAATAAATCGAATCGTGATTTTCATGAACTCTATCTCCACCAGCATGTGTTTGGCAGAAACATTCAGCAGGAGTACAGCCTCCAAGGGGACTAAAAGCAGAGGATCGAATGGGGCTAAACAAGCCACTGTCTTCCCCGGATGCCTGCACTGGGCGTGGAGAATCTGGAGCGTCACACGGGTTACTGTATGGAGACTCTGGTTTCCGCGGAGTTGGTTTTCTAACATTAGCTGGGAGAGCTGGACGATCAAACTTGAACTTTTGAGGATTCATAGTAGTGGTTACAGAACAAGATTTTTCATGTTTGTGCCCTTTCTTTTGCGATGGCATCCCTATGGCAGGATCTTTTATAAACAGACAAGGAGTTTCTAAATTTTGTTCTAGTTCATCAAACTGATCGAAACTATCAAAAAATTCACTTACTTCTGAGTCTGAATCCTCTATATCATCTTTCATCACAGGAATTTTAGGCAGCTCAAGTTTTGCTTTTAAACTTTTCTGATATCCCTCTTCATCCAAGAAAATAACAGGACTTGGACTTGAGCATTCTGATTCAGAAGAGTACGCAGGGGAAGAAGAAAAAAACGTTTCCTGTATCTCACTACCTTTATCTGGAGCATTAGTTGACCTGTAGAAACTCCTTTGGATCCAAGGCTCAGAAACTGATGTTGTGACTGGAGCTTTCACAGAAGGTGGTTCTTTGTGCCCCAGAATGTTTATTAAGGAAGTTGTGGGTTTAGCCAATGACTTCTGCTGCCCAGAGCTAACCAGAATCTTTAAATCATGGGTTTCTAAGTGGTGACTAGAAACAGTCTGTGAAGCGGCATCACACTGGTTCCTTAGTGCTGAAATGTTTATTCCTATAGGAAAGGGGTAAAATAATTAAATTACGTATCAATGGAGTTTTTTAAAAATTAATTTAAACCAGTAAGTTGACTTTAAAAGCACGAGGTATTTATTTATAACATAAGTGTCTTCTAAACTATGCTGTTTAATAGAAAGGTTCATCCCAAGTCACATTTGGAAGTGAATACACCTTTTATTAATTTAATTTTCCCCTGTGTCTGGGGATGGTTAGTCTATTGGCACGCTTAGCATGGTGTCCCGTGTGTTAGAGACACTAACATGCAGCCCCTTCCAGCTAATTCTTCTGAAATGTGAACCCAGCCATGTTTCAGACATTTAAGATGATGGGGTAAACAGTGCTTAGAGGGCACTACCTAAGAAAAACAGGAACAGCAAAACTAAAACTATAACAACTATAAACTTAAAGGTTACCAAAAAATTAATTCCTCAGGAAATCAGAGAAAAAGTTAAAATGTTTAAATTGGATCAAATTTCAAAATGAATTTCAACTGAACAAGTCTACCTTAAACCTTTCAAAAGTGAATTTTAAATTTTCATCCCCTACTTCAAGAAAAGGTCTGGTAGAAAACGAACCATCATTATATGGCTTTGAAGTCTCTTCTTCCTCTAAGTGCTCAAAAGCAGTGACAAAGTCATCCTCTATGGAAGACACTGACTGGTTAGTATCATCATCATCTTCATTAGTGGTCTCAAGTTGGCCCTTCTGATGCAAGTATGTTTCCAGGGCGTATCGTATACCAGTAGCATATTTACTCAGCAGACTAAATATAAAATCAATTCTGAGTCTTGGTAATGTAGGTGACACTCTCATGACGCAAAGCATTCCAGAATGACGACTCTTGGGGAAGATGAGAGATAGTAGAAAACAATTTCAATTTCAAATATAAAACATATCAAGAAGTAAAGCCTAATGGGAAGGCAGAGAGGGTTAGGAGCTGGTTGAATGGACATAGGGAATCACGGGTAGAAAGGAGGAGTGTGCTGTCACAGTATGGGGAGAGCAGTGAGGGTCACATAACAATGTATGTATAAATTTTTGTACGGGAGACTAACTTGAAATGTAAATTTCATTTAAACTACAACAATAAACAAAACAAAACAGGAAAAAAAAAAAAAGAAGCCTAGAAATAAGACAATCTTAGAAAAACACAAGAAAGGCAAGCATCACAAAAGGCTCCCTGGCTTTCTAACGTTTCTTTTCTTCATCCTTTCTCTACGACAGCTCTCATTTCCCAATTTCTTTTTCTCCCATTTTTTCTGTGACACACATATTCAGATTCTACCCATCCTATCTCCTTAAAATGTTACAGAACTTACATTCTACCTATACTTCTTTGGCAATTATGTTTTCCTGTAATCATACAGCCCTGTGATTTTTCTTTATCATTCATTTATCTCATCAACTTGACTGTAAATTGCTTGAGGGCAGGAACCAGGTTAGAGTTTATTTTTGTACCTCATGTTCCTTTAGCTTTTGGCATGACGCCACCTTCTCTCCTATCATAATAAAGAAACTGATCCTCCTTTTACCTAAATTTCCCTAGTTAATACAACTTCTAATAATGTTCGCAGCTTTGACTAAGATTACAAGTCACCAGATTTTTTTCCTACACATATTATCTTAAAAATGCACACACTGACAAATCACTTAATTAAAAAAAAACTAGAAACCATGTCTAATAGCTAATCACATCTTAAGTACTAACAAATAAAGCATAGTAAATATGAATGAAGAATATAATTAAGGAAATGAGACAAGCAGTTCCACTTCTATCTGCAGACCTCATAATGAACACAGTCCTCTTGTATACGTAGAATAAATGAGGGTAATTTTAGACCTGAGGGCTGAACTGTAGATGTTTTACCTCCTAAAATGCAAATAATATTTTTTTCTTTGTGTGTTATCAGCAAGAGCATACCTAGTAAACAAGTAAAAGCTCAATATTACCAAATAACTACATGTCTGAAATAATGGAACATCAGATGGTTACATTACATGGGATTTTTCTTAATCAGAAAATTAGCTGAAGTACATTCTATAAAATACAGTATTTTTATAAATGTGGAAATAGCCATAAAAAGGAAGTCTCTATAGCTTATATATAGTTCAAGAAATTCAGAAATAATGAATTTTCTGGGAAAAAAAAAAACATATTTGCATACCATTTATGGAACTTCATATATAGAAAATCTAATTTATAAGCTATAACCAAAATTATTCCATCCTTCAGTAATTTCAATGCTTCATGAGTTAGATTTCTTATGAATATTTCCTTAAGACAGCATTAAAGAAAAAAGAAAAGAAACTGCACTCAAGTATTTAAAAGTTTAATACTCTGGACCAAATGCCATTATAAAATCTGCCCTGAAAAACTCATTAGAAATGATCTTTAAACGCTACCTGATTTAGAGGACCATTGTTTATTTCCGAGGATTTTTTTATATCCTTCATACAAATAATTTCATTTTCATTTAGACTGCAGAAGTGGAGTGAATTCAGAAGATCTGGAAGTTCCAAAGAAACTGCAGCTAAATCCTAGTTTAAAATAACAACACAATAAATATCACTTACAAGGTTCTTATAATGTGGACCCTATACAGATATCATAAGTTAACTGGTAAATACATTTTCTGAGTCATTACAGTTAACATATGCAACTTATCATCCTCAGATGATCTACTTTTAAAGAACATAAAATATAATTAGTATTTTGACACTGGCCATTCCTGCAGCCTCTTCAACATACAGATATCAAGCTATTGAAACAACTCTGTATGGTATCTCACACATCTATGACAATTAGGCATTTAATAAATATGTTCAGCAAATGTCAACCTGCAGTTCTCAGGTTAAATTTTGGAATTTTTCATACAGGCTTCTTGGCAATGTACTCCTTCATAGCTTAAGTTTTAAATTTGTAAAATACAAGTCCATTTTTATGCCTTTCCTCTCCAAGGTACTGTATTAGACTTTAAATGAAAACTTGATAAACATGTAAAGGAAAAGGAAATAGCTTATTTTGGGGGGTTTGTTTTTGTACTTTTTATGTAAATATTTTACACAGTTAAAGAATTTTTTAAAACTCTTGACCCCTCCTAGAGTATTTTCCTTTATACATTAACATGGTTTTATCAGTAACACTTAAAGAGGAAGTAAAGTATTAGAGAAATACTTTGGAACACTTCTCTTTCCAGCCTTATGTTCTCAGGAGTATATTCCTTTTGTCTGAACTATTTCCTTCAAGTAAAAGCACCATCAAGACACATCAGCAGTTTCATTAATAATCACTAGATACATTATTCAGAAAGAACTGAATGGTGTTATTTCTTTCTCTATTAGAAGACGCCTACTGCCACAAAAGGAAGCACATGGCAATGACAAATTCTGCAAGAAGCAGCACAAGGCAAAAAAAAAAAAAAAAAGTACGCCTACCACATGCACACAAGCTTCAACCACTCTTTATGTAACTGCTAAGCTCTCCTTCGTTGATACTAATCTCAAATAGCAGTTCCTTTGTAAATACCTGCCTAAATCAAACAGGCTAAAATTTTTGTATTGGCTAATCATTACTTTTCACAAATTTTAGCTTTTAAATATTCGACTCTATCTTAATTAAAAATAGAAGAATTTTTTCTGTTGAAACCAGATTATAGAAACATTCTAAATAAAAAAGCAAGTCTTACATTCTATATTATGCACAGAGTGGAGATAAAGTCAGCCTGTGGTTTGCAACCTTCTGAGATAAGTGACTTGTGTGATCTTCTAACATAAAGCTGCTTTCCAAAACAAGGATCCTCAAATGGAAATACTAAAAAAAAGTGAGAATGTCCAAAACACACTCAAAAGTTGACCTCAAATGTCAACTTTTAACTATAAACAGGAAAAATGCCAGAAGAGTTTAGTATGAATTTTAGGCCACTAAGGCAAAATCTTCAGTCTCAAAATCTTGTTCCAAATAATCTCTCACAGTTCTTTCTAGTTCAATAAATTGATCATACCTGTATATGAGCAGCATCTGTTTCTTCATTAAAACCTAGAAACGTGACCTGAATAAAACAGGAATAAAACTCCATTAATTTGAGTTTTAAGTTTTGTCTCAGATTTTTGACAGAGCTGAGAAACAGGAAAAAAGCACACAAAGTATAAAAATATTGCCTGCCTTGGACTGGATGATAATTTTTTCAAAGATGATCAAAAAGGTCTTTGATCAAAGATTTGGCTCTGTGATACAGTTCTTGAAACACCCCCATATCCACCTCATTAGCAAGTTCAATCAACTCTATCTCCAACACATATTTCAAATACACCCACATCCTGCCTTTTCACTGCCACCACTTCTCACCTGCACAATTCCAGTCCTCTCCCACTTGATCCCCAATAACTGTCATGTCACTTCCCTGTCAAAACCTTCCATGGCTTCCCCGTGCAAAGTCCTGACCGAGGCCTCAAAGCTTTGGGTTAGCTGGAGACTTCAGACCTTCCCCCAACACATGGGCCTCCTTTTTGTGACTGGAACACATCTGGTACTTTCTTGCGTCAGGTCTACACAGTACGGTCCCCTCTGCCTCAGTCTTAGGAGTCCTGTTGGCACAATGGTTAAAGCGCTCAGCTGCTAACTGAAAGACTAGCACTTTTAACCCACCAGCAACTTCGCATGAGAAGGATGTGGCGGTCTGCTTCCATAAAGATTTACAGCCTTGGAAACCCTATGGGGCAGTTCTACTCTGTCCTACAGGGTCACTATGACTGGGAATGGGTTCAGCAGCAGTGGGTGGGGCCTCAATCTTTCTTCCTTGGATGCTTACATCTCTAGCACCTCCTCATTCTTCAAATTCCAGTTCAAATGTCAATTCCTCAGCGAGACCTTCCCTGGGCAGACCTTCAAGACTACCTCCTCATTGACTCAATTTATTTCCTTCAATGCTCACACATAGAGATTACTCTGCAGGAGTTTATATAAAATTTTAAAGAATATCTAATGACATAAGGAAATGTCACATCATAAGTAAAAAAGACAAGTCACAGAAAATGCATAAAAAGTGTGTAGAGAATTCCAACCTCATTTCAAATATATATATATATATATATATATATATGCATGAAAAATAATACTGGAAAACAATACACCAAACCATAAGCTGTGATTAACTCTAGATGATGAAGCTGTAGGTGACCTTATTTTTTTCTGTCTTTTCCCCCCGTGGTTCTTCTTTTTACCTTAATTCACAGGATTAATGACAGTTTTCTTTTTTATACTTTCCATATTTTTTCATTTTTCCGTAAGGAATACATACTACTATTATAACCTGAAAAAACAATTGTTATTTTTATAATTTACAATCTCTTTGTATCTTTGGCATCATAGAAACAGTCTTTTTCCATTTGAAGATGGAATAATAAACTGTTTACTACGCAAATACTGTAGTTAAAAATACACAACACTTAAAATATAAAGCAACACTGACTATACTTTTGATTCCGAAGCAAGTCAGAATCTTAAATTCCCCTGGGATCTTTATTCTGATCAATTGTTATTATTTCACAGAAATGCTGCAGTTAATTTCCAGGTGTCTAGGTAAATTACTTCACCTCGCATCATGTATAAAAATTAACGCATACAACTTCCCTCCCACAGTTGTGAGGGTTAGTTAGATAATGCGGAGGAAAGTGCCTTGCACATAAGACTCAATACTGTTAACTTACTTCCTTCTTCCAAAAGATACTTTGAGATGTACACCCTAAAGTAGACAGAAATTCCTTCTATTTTCTCAAGTTTCCTTTTACTGAATACAAAAGAGAAAATAAGCTGACGTGGGGTTTTGAAAATGCCAGTAGTTTTATATTTCCCATCTATCAAGGAAGGCCTGGCCGAGGAATGTGGGCTCTGAAAGGCATTACGTAAGACGCCTGAGAGATACAGGCTGGAAAACTATTTGAGGGCAGAAGGACACAGGAGGCTTGTCACACATGGAACAACTGAGTAGATAAAGAGAAGTTCTGCTTTACTAAAATAAAATGAAAAGGCATAACAAAGACGGTAACAGTAAAGCGCCAGAGAAATGCGGCTGACACAAGAAAAAAGGCTCAGACTCTACAAAGTGTGCTCATCTCCCTATGCAACTGTGTCAGATATTGTTTCTCAGGGAACATGAAAGAAAATCATTCACAAAACCAAGAACAATTGAGATTTCTTTATTAGAACTCTCATTTCAAAAAAAAATTTTTTAACATATTCATCCGTTTTGAGCTGCAGCAACCTGATACCTTATCTCTTATTTTGTAACACAAATATGAAAATCGACTATAGATACAGTGTAAAAAAAATCTTACTCCTTTTTATAAATTTAAAGAAATACTGGATGTAGGTGAAAGAGGTAAGCAAGTTGTACATTTTATCCAAAACTCATTAACAGTCTCGAGTACTAAAGTATCTTAATTTCAAGATAAATTTATCACTACTATTTAACTTTAAATCAAAGCACTGAATTTTAAACAGTCAAGAAAACTAACAATAACCAAAAAAAATGATTATAAGAAAGAAGAATATATTTTATGTTTCAAAATAGAAAAATTTATTATTAAAGTATCAATTACTGAATATAGTAGGAATCATTTAATATAGTACTATATGTCCAATCAATGATTACTAATGCCTATATACTGAATTAAATACATTCACTATAATAAATTAAGACAGTTATGTTATCAAGTATTTGTAACAGGTACTTCTAATACATGTATTAGTATGTAGAGATTTTAATCTTTTTAAAAACAAATCATTCAGTCCTTCAAAGACACATGAAAAATACATTGTGTATTAGAAAAGGGTTTAGAAATAATGTCAAACCTCAGTCAAATTGGCATGTTCATCCTGCTTCAAGCAGTCCTCTGCTGATACATTGCATAATTCCTTCTCACTCTGTAGTAAAGACTTTACAGACTGGAATACACCTTCACTGAAGCTCTGAAAGAAAGGACATCCTTAATTTATTTAATTCTAAAACAAGGTAAAAGTTCCTGGAGATATTCTAGTTTTAAAGCGTCACTAATTTTCCAATTATTTGGTACCTTTTGATACTGTACGCAGAACTCAATTCAGCTGAGAAGAACAAAAAGCTCTTACGTACAGGTGCCACATGCCCAAAACACACACACCAAGCCTAGGCACTCAACTCACTGAAGACTCTCACGCCAAGCTCCCTTACTCTGACCTACACTAAAATCTAATAGACTGGGTATCTAATTCCCAAGCCACTGGGGGAACAGAAGCAACAATAAGGGGTGAGATGATCTGGAAGCTATAGTGACACATGCTAACAACAGCAATTACTCCTGTAACAAAGGTGGTCATGGAAAAAAGAGAGAAAATAACCAAAACTAAGGTTTTTCAAGAATCTTAAGGAAGCTGTATGATGAAAATGAGGAAAGGTGTTTCAGACTGGAGGGAAGGAGGGAGACACAAGTGCAAAGGAACAGAAGGGAGAAAAGTTACATAAAGGAAATGGTAAGTATTATCCAAAAACCAAAACCTACTGCCACTGAGTCGATTTTGATTCATTATACTTAGACATAAATAGAACATTAACTTTCTCTACCTTACTCTACTTCCATGATTTGTTGATCTGCTTTTCTATCTGTTCCTGTGGAAATCGTAACCATCCCAAGACCTGTGAAGGTTCTCCCATTCCTTAGTCATAATAAATCTCTCTCCAAGTTCCTACTGTACTTACTGTTTACACATTAAGATCACTTAACCTGTATTACAACATATTATAATTATTCTGCTCATATATGTTTGTCCTTTCCACACATTAGACCAAATTACTGAGGTCAGAGACTGTGTATTTTACTCATTTTATCTCCCCAGATTTCAGTACCTTACATATTGCAGGGATACAGTAAAGGTCTGCTAATTTTAATAAATTAAAAATTAATGAAAATCTTCCATCTGCAAGAAAGTGACGTAAATATGAAATCAAAGAAGGGGGGAAAAAAGATGCTATGTTAAATCTGAATCTGAGCTATCAATATGAACTCTGATTCTTATGTCCTACACGTTTTCTAACTGAAAGATCCTAGAAGCAATGATCCTCAGTAGTAACAAGCACACTCTGTATCCAGAATTTGGTTTCTAAATACCATTCCTCAATAAAAAGAAGTAGAGCTTCTGGGGAAAATGCCTGGTTCCAGGACTGGGACAGAGAAAGTATGGAGGAAGCCTGGAACACCTTACTGTACCAGAATGCAAGGAAGTGCTCAAAGACTAATGGAGTCCTTTTACAAGAGCACAGGATACAACTTAAAGGGGTTCCCACTGGCCAAATTTGGGACAATTTTGGGATCAGAAAGATTAAAATAGGTAATGGATTACAGTTACTGATTTTTTTTTTTTAATCTACGAGTCCATTAAAAGGGGGTAAAGGAAGACAAACTCTTCTTTACATAAAAATGTCAGCTGACAAATAAAGATGTAATGACAAAATTAGAAAATCTGTTTTGTAACCCCAATGTAATAACTGATTTCAGAAAGGATCAAAGTAGCCTAAAACCACTAGGTTAAAAGCTGTTGAAGAAAAGGATACTCACACGGTCTCAAAGTATCACTCTTCAGATTACTTATTACTTATATTAATTCCTAAAGGATTACATGCCTTTATACTGGAGATATCTGGTAGTTACAACCTTAAGCAACTGGTCAAGCCTGGCACCAACAATATGTGCCTCTTGATCTGACAGACTGGAATAAACACATCACTTCTGAGATATTCTTACTGAACCTAACTACAGGGAAAAACAGATGAACCCAGAATCTGGGGACAGTCTATAGGACAACTGGCCTGGACTCTTCCAAAGACTCGCTGTCATGAGGGAAGAAACAGGCATTGGGAACAGTCTAGACTGTGGGAGACCAAAGAGACACAACAGTCAAATGCAGTATGTAAACCTTGATTAATCCTAGATGAAGGCAAGGGAAAATTTACAAGGATACTTGAGATAATTAGGAAAATCTGTGTATGGACTATATTCATATGATGTTACTGAATTAATGCAGTCCCTGGGTGGTGCAAATGGTTAAGTACTTGACTGCTAACCAAAAGGTTGAAGGTTCAAGTCCACCCAGAAGCACCTCGAAGGAAGGGCCTGGTGATCTACTTCTGAAAAAATCAGCCATTGAAAACTCTATGGAGTACAGTTCTACTCTGACACACACGGGGACACCATGAGTCAGAATCAACTCGACAGCAGCTGATACTGAATTAATGATTTTCATATGGGTGGTGATGGTGCTGTGGTTCTTGAGATGCAGGCTGACACATTCAGAAGCAAAATACAATGTCTGCAGCCTACTTTCACATGGTTTGGCAAAAGGAAAGTATAGGTGTATATATGGTCATAGAGAGAGATGGAGTAGGTACCGCAAGATGTTAACAGAGAATTCAAATACACTTTTCAATTTCCATATTAGCCAATAGAGTCTTGAAGGTGGTATATGTGTGTGTTTGTAACATACACACATATAAACAGGATGTAATATTTGGATTCACACACTTTTATCAAACAGGGCTTCCAAGGATTCAAGTACACCCACTCCTCACTTAAAGACATGGTTAGGTTCCAAAGACCAGTATGTTATGTGAAAATTGGCATTATGCAAAAATGGAGGATGAGCACATCACAAAATGGAGGATGACTACATCATTACATAACTGCCCAATTACATCATTACATAACTGCCAAACCACTGAGAATTATGGCCCAGCCAAGTTGACACATAAGCTTAACCATCACAGCCAACATTACTCTTGCCGCATACCTCAAGCGTTCATTACTGCCAGATATATGTTGTTAACGTGCAAAATAGTCAGATAATAGATTTTTTACTATCATCGTAAATGTGAAATGTTGGATAACAAGATAGTTGGTAAGTGAGGAGTACGTATAAATTCAAATCAAATCTTTACTGAGTACCTAATATGGAAAATGTGTTGAGTAACAAAAGACAATAACAGTAAGAGATTTCAGCTGCCACATACTTGCCTAACCTCAGGCAATTTCCTGGTAAATTCAAGTCAATGGGTAGGTAGTACTGTGCTTGGAAAACACAGTCACCAGCTCACTATTTAGGATGTGTATATGTGTGTATATATTACTCAGTTACAATTAGTCATTTAAACCAATTGGTCGAATTTAATTATTAATTTAAAGCTCTGGGTCTAATTGTTAATCCAAAAAAAGTATAATAAATACACTACAGTTTCTGAAAAGCAGAAACACAGAAAAAACACTTATTGTACTTTTCTCAGATTAAAAAGTAGACCTATTAAATTTAAAGGTACTTAACCTGAAAACACAGAGTATATTACTTAGAAATATAATTAACATACTGTTTAAAAATAACTTTGTCTTCCAACTTTGCAGATACCCTGCAATCTTAGAGTCAGTAGTCAAATCCATGTTTTTTTAGCTCTCTGAAGAAATGAGTGACTGGATGAAAAAGCAGACTGGAAGCTTACAGGAACACTAATAATTAAAAGGTGGAAAGAAGATCAGCAGAGGAGACAGGAGTTATAATAAAGAGAGAAGGCAGACAAGAAAAACGCTGTAACAGAAGAAGTCAAAGACTGACTTAACCTGTAAGGAGTGGTCAACAGTGTCATACAATGCAGGTATGAAGTCTAGAAAAGGAGCTTACAAAGACTAAAGACTGTTAACCATACTTCATCCATTCTCCTCTTCTTTCTTTAAGTAATGCCCTCAAAGTTTTAGCTTGGCATATGGCTGACCCACTAGACCACATTTTCCTGCCTCCCTTGTGCAAGATTTAGCCATGTGTCTAATTTCAGGCAATGAAATGTGGAGAAGTTATGTGTACAAAACTTCGCCCTACACTTCCTCTTCTTCCTCTTCCCACAGTCTAGAACCACATCTACTGACCCAAGTTTCAACCCCACACTTGCTCCAGAGACAACACTAGGAAATAGTACGGCAACAAGACCGAAGAAACCTGGGCCCCTGGAATACTCTGTGGAACAGAGCTGCCCCACCAGTATGGACCATTCTGCTCTAGACCATGACATGAGAGAAAATTTAACTTTTATATTGTTCGAGCCCCTGCATTTTGGTGTCTCTATTATAGCAGTCTCACCTGCACCATGTAAGTATTTGGCTGGAATTTTAAATAAAATAGTATTATGGTGATACTACAAGGAGTTATGAAGGAAAATGGACAAGTAGAAACAGCAGGTAAACATTTCGGATATTTGGCAATAAAAGAGAGGACAAAGAATATGAATAGTAATTCATAATAAAAACAGAGTCAAATAAAAGCATTTTTTTAGATTTTTTTAATGTTGTTTTAAGTTAAAAAAGAAATATAAGTATATTTGAAGGTAAACGAGGAAAAGCTTGGGAAAAGTGAGTGGCAAAGATTATGGATATTAGTGAGGAAAGAGAGTAGAGAAAGCCATGAAACACAAATACCAGAGAAGTAAGAACAATCATTCAGTGCCCAGTGCTAAGTACCATACAAGAGACACAGGGATGAATCGTTTGGTTTCTGTCCTCAAGGAACTCACATTCTACTAGAAAAACTGGACACAAATAATGCGATACAGTGCAACAAGTGCTATAATAAAGTGCATAATAGTGGCACAAAGGAAAAACTGATTAACTCTGCTTGGATGAGTACATAAATCGAGATTCTTGAGCTGATTAATAAAGCAGTATTAGGAGCTCACAAGATGGGACTTCTAAATAAAAAGAACAATGTATGCAAAGACAAGGATGTCAAGAAATGGAAGAGTAACCAAGTTGTCTCAAGAGACAACAATGAGGTATGTTTCTTCTTCAGACTAGAAAGGAAACATATTTAATTTGCTCACTACTGATTAGTCAGTATCATATGATAGGCATGCAAACTCATATTTGCTGAATGAATGAATGAATGTTAATATTCTGGGATAA